ACTGACCAATGCTGCGAAACGTTGGCTCAACTCGTTGTCATTTGGGAAGAACAAACCCTTGCCAGAGACTGCTTTCTCCATTTTCAAAATGCTGACGAGGACGGCGAAGAATAGGCTAAGAATCTTTAACTTCTGGCAGAACGCGCTTTCCTTGACTGTCCACCAAACAAGGTCGCTACCCGGGTAATAGTCCAGTTTAGACATGGAGTTCGACCTCCCGCTTTGCCTGGGAAGCTCTACGACGCAAAGACCTACTCGCTTGGTCAGTTGGTCAAGCTCACAACCAAGAAGCGGCAGGAACCTTGGGCAACCCCGATCTTCCAGAGGCCTCATAACTGGTCAAAGTCGACATCCTCGCATCGCGCCTCCCCGCGCTATATCCCTAGACTAGGTGAGCCTTCCTTTTCCCTTTCCTGTCTGCTCCCAAATGGCTTCCATCCCCATATGAGGGTTTCTGGTGAACATAAAGGACGTTCCTGTAGTTTTCTTCTCGACTGTGGTGCAACTAAGTCAATTGTGAACCTCCAGGCCTTCCCTATCCTTTGTAACAAGGTTGAGTTCCTCTCCCCTTCTGCAAAATTGCGTTCAACAGAAGGTAGGGAGATGGTAGCTGAAGGAGAGACAACATTAAAAGTCTTCATAGGAATGGAAACCTGAACAACGAAATTCATCGCATGCAGAAATTGCCTGGGACGTGATACTTGGTGCCGATTTCCTAAGCAACACCAAAGCCGTCCTAAATTTTGCAGAAGGCACCTTTTCCACTCACGAAGCCACCGGGGTTAACACAGATACCTCTCCACCGAAAGACGACGCAGATGACATCTGCAACGCCCTTTTTGAAACTCCAGCCATTCCCATGAGCAATCTAGATGACCTTTGTGTCGAGCTGACTCACATTCCCAACGACGAGAGAAAAGAACTCCGTCAGCCCCTTCTTAAGTATGCGAACATCTTCTCATGGCAAGGTGCAAGCATAAGATTAGTACCGGTGAAGCTAGGCCCATCTAACAGCCACCCAGACGTATCTCACCTCCTTTGAAGGGAGAGGTAAACCATCTTGTTAAAAAATGCTTTGAGATGAGGTTATAAAGTCATCCAAGTTACCATGGGCCTCTCCTATCGCGCTGGCAAAGAAGAATGACGGCAGGCTGCAGTTATGCATCGACCATAGGAAGTTGAATGCCGCAACCAAGATAAAGGCCATCCTTCTCTCCCACATAAATGTCTTACTTGGCTCCTTACATGGGCCGCGGTGGTTCTCCACCCTAGATTTAAATTCGGGATGGTGGCAAGTAGAGGTTGCAGAAACAGACCGAGGAACGACAGCTTCTATATTGCCATACGGGCTTTATGAATTTCCGATGATGCTCTTTGAATTCTGCAACGCAGCGGCCACCTTCCAACACCTCATGCAAACAGCTCTGATCACCCTATTCCCCAAGCATTGCATTATCCATCTTGGCGATATTCTCGTTCTCGGTAGAGATTCTCAAGAGCACGCTACCAACCTGAAACTAGTGTTGGACCGTC